GATTATATTAATTTCTAAGTATTAAGCCATAATTAAAACATTTAAAAGGGTCTGTGAAATTTGATTTTCTGATTACTTTTCTTAGGGTTTTGAATTCATACTTTTAAAAATAATTACTTTTATTCTATGTGTATGAGTGTATTGCCTGCATGTTTTAAATGCACCTGTGTCATGCAATGCCTTTGGAGGTCAGAAGAACCTCCAACTGAACCCAGGTTCTCTGCAAGAGTAGTTAGTGCTCTTAACCTCTGAGCCATCTCTCCAGTCTCATTGAATTCATCTTGTAATAAATCTTTAAAAAAGCAAATCCAGGGGGCTAGAAAGATGACTCACTGGTTAAGAGCACTGGCAAAAGACCTGATCTTGCAAAGGACCTGAATTCAGTTCCCAGACCCACATGGTGGCTAACAACCATCTGTCAGTTCCGGAGGCTTTGATGCCCTCTTTTGATCTCCATGGGCATTGCACATATATGGTGCACTTACATGAAGGCAAAATACTCACACACATAAAATAAAGTACATCAGGGGCTGGAGAGAAGGCTCAGCGGTTAAGAGCACTGACTGCTCTTGCAGAGGACCCAGGTTCGAATCCCAGCACCCAAATGGCAGCTATGAACCGTCCTTAACTCCAGTTCCAGGGGAATCTAAAGCCCTTTTCTGACCGCCACAGCATTGCACGACACGGGTGCACTCACATACATGCAGGCAATACACGCAATACACTCATACACTTAAAATAAAAATAACAAATAAAAATAAATACATCAACCAGCACTTGGGAGTTCCAGGCTAGCTGGGGTTACAAGGAGACCCTGTCTCAAAATACAAACAAAACTAAAAAAATAAATACATCAAAAAGTAAAAATGTTTTTAATGGGAAAAAAAAAGGTGAATTCAGGACCGAGGAGATGGCTCAGTGAAAAAGGCATTTATTTGCTGTGCTTTAGGACCCAAGTTTGGATCCCCAGAACTCATGCAAAGGCTGGCTGGTTGTGTGTCAACCCACATGTAACTCCAGCAGTCTGAAGGCAGTCAGGGGATCCCCAAAGCTGGCTAGCTTGACACTTGAAGAATCTGTGAGCTCTGGGTTTAATAGAGTCCCTTCCTCAATGAATAAAGTGAAGAAAGCTTAGGGACGACCCTAGACATCACCCTCCAGCCACCACACACATGCACATGCACACTCACACAAATAGCTAATTCAATTTTACATTAAAAAAATCTTGAGATTTAGTCAGATGAGTGCAAAATCCAACAACACTAAGATCCTACATGCTTCTGTTGGGGATAAGACAAGAAATGCAAGTTAAAAATTTGTAGCTGAAAGCCGGGCATGGTGGCACACGCCTTTAGTCCTGCACCCAACTTAAAAAAAAAATCATGTTTCCCTTACACTGTTTCCTTTAAACAGTGTTTCCTTTAAACTAGTTAAAAACTTTTTCTTCATACAATTTAATCCCTTTCCCATAAAAATGAAACAATGACCTCTAATGGAGTAAACTCACCTGGTTTCCACAGTGATTCATTCTTAACGTTTTAAACTGTGTCATCAGAATGTGGCAAATGTTCTAGACACCGTAATCCTCAAAACACTTAGAAATATCTTACTACAGATGTGGTGGTGCATGCCTTTAGTCCTAGCACTTGAGAGGCAGAGGCAGAGGCAGGGGAATCTCTGTGAGTTTGAGGCCAGCATGGTCTACATAATGAGTTCCAGGCCAGCTGGGGATACAGGGAGACCCTGTCTCAAAAAAACCAAAAAAAAAAAAAAAAAAGGAAATATCTTACAACATTTGACTTAAAATCCTATCTTATCCCCCCAGCTGCTGCTTTGTGCTAGAGATTAAACCCAGGACTTTGCTCACTTTAGGCAAGTGATCTACCACTGAGTCACATGCCAGCCTCTCTAATATAGAGGTAAAGGTTGGGCATGGTGGTACACTCTGATTACAGCACTCAGGTGAGGCAGGTTAGCTCAGGGAAAGCCTGGGCTGAACAGTAAGGTCCTGTGTCAAAATTTAGAAAAATCATGAGAGGGTGTTTGTGTGTATATATATTCTTGCTGGTTGAATTTTAATACACAGATGTCCCCTGGATTGGCCCTATACTCCCAGTCTACTCATTACACATAATACAATGTATATGCTACATAAATAATTGGTGTGCCAGATTTAGGATGACATGAAAGTGTATCTGTATACACTGAGTACAGATTTTTTTTAAAAACTTAATTTTCACTATTTGAAGCAGGGGCTAATGTAGAACAGGCTGGCCTGGAACTTGCTATGTTGCCAAGGATGGCTTTGAACTGATCTTCCTATCTCTGCATCTTGAGTGCTGAAAACACAAGCCTGTGTGACCATCACATTTTTAAAAATGTGTATGTGGCTGGGTATAGTGGTGCATGGCTTTAATCTCGGCACTTGGGACACACAGGCAGGCGAATCTGAGATGTGGCTAGCCTGGTCTACATATTGAGTTCTAGGTGGACTTACAGGGAAACCCTACCTCAAAAACTGTACATATGTATGTAAATGCGGTGTGTGGGTGAAGAGGGCATCAGATCCCTTGGAGCTGAAGTTACAAGTGATTGAGTCACCCAAAATGGGTGCTGGGAATCAGGTCCTCTGGAAGAGCAGCAAGTGCTCAGCAATCTCTCCAGCCCTCGGACACAAGGTTTTTTTTTTTTTGACCCCTTGTTGAATTCCCCAATGTGGAACCCATGGATATGGAGTAGGGGACATGACAAGATAGTATTTACTATTAACGGACCGAGAGATTGTATCTCAACAAAGTATCCACATCAAGTGGTGCGAAATGTCAGTGCTCTCACATTCTACCCTTCTGCTGGATCACAGGATTTATGGAAAAGTTGTCTGATCACAGATGGATGTGATGTTTAATCTTGTTGGGGGGTGGTTTTTTGAGACAGGGTCTCCCTGTAGCCCCAGCTGTCCTGGAACTCACTATGTAGACCAGGCTGGCCTTGAACTCAAAGATCCGCCTGCCTCTGCCTCCCAAGTGCTGGGATTAAAGGCATGCGCCACCACACCCAGCCGGTCTTTCTACCTTTTAATGTGGGTTCTAGGGCTTGCATAGCAAGTGCCTTTACCCATCTCACCAGACACTACATTAAAAAAAAAAAAAAAACACATTACATTTTATTCATTTTGTGTGCATGTGAATGGATGTGAACATGTACATACCATAGCCCCAAATGTGGAGGACAGTCTTCGGAAGCTGGTTCTCTCCTTTGACCAAGTGGATGGCAAGGATCAAATTCAGGCTGTTGGGCTTGGTGGCAGGTACCTTTACCAACTTGGCCATCTTACCAGCTGGCTCCCAATGTGTGAAGGTGTACATGTCTGTGCAATGTGTGGAGACCAGAGGACAACCTTGGGTGGTTACTAAGGCACTGTCCACCTTGGGTTTTTTAGTTTTGTTTTGAGATAGTCTCCCTGTAGTCCCAGCTGGCCTGGAACTCATTATATAGACCAGGCTGACCTACATCTTACAGATACCTTCCTGCCTCTGTCTGCCAAGTGCTGGGATTAAAGGTATGCACCACCATGCCAAGCCATACCTTTTTTTTAAATTTTTTATTTTTATTATTTTTATTTTATGTGTACGAGTGTACTGCCTGCATGTATGTGAGTGCACCTGTGTCGTGCAATGCTGCGGAGGTCAGAAGAGGACTTCGGATTCCCATGGAACTAGAGTTAAGGACAGTTTGTAGCTGCCATGTGGGTGCTGGGAATCGAACCCGGGTCCTCTGCAAGAGCAGTCAGTACTCTTAACCGTTGAGCCACCTCTCCAGCCCCAGCTATACTTTTATGGAGGTTCTAGGGACTGAACTCAGGTCCTTATGTACTTTACAGACTTAGCTATCTCCCTAGCCCCCAGAAAGTTTCTTAGTTCCCAGCACCCACAAGGTGGGGGTTAGTTCGGGGGCGGGGGTGTGTGTGTGTGTGTGAATCTGATGCCATCTTCTGGCCTCCAGAGGTATCACATGCAACTGGCACAGTTAATACATGCATCCAATATACACATAAAATAAATTCTGGCTATACAGATGGCTCAGTGGTTAAGAGCACTGTCTACCCAGGTTCAGTTCCTAGCACCCTCAGGAGAGCTAACAATTACCTGTAACTTCAGTTCCAAGGATCTGATACACTTCTGGCATCTGCAGGCACTGCATGCACATGAGGCACTTTACATATACATGGGCTAAACACTTCATATACATAAAATTAAAAAAAAAGTTTTAGGACTCCCTGTAAGAGTATAAAGGAGCTACAGACAGGCACATTCTACAAGCAAATGCTTCAGAACTGCTCATAAATGAAATGTTCCCAAATTCCAATTCATGAGTATATAAAGCTATATTCTATAGTAAACTATATTTTTAATAAAGCAAAAAGGGGCTGAGAGATGGCTCAGCACTGGCTGCTCTTGTACGAATAACCAAAGGACGAAAACCCTTTTCTGGCTTCTGGACATTGCACAACACTAATGCACTTATATACACACAAACCACTCATATACATAAAATAATTGTAATGCAAATGAAATACAAAAACACATTAACACTAACAAAATAAGTAATTGTTTTTCAGGGTTGGGACCTGAACCATGCATGGGAGGTAAGCACTCTACCACTGAGCTACAGTCCCAGCCCCAAATGAATGACTTCTGATTTAGAGGGCAATATCAATTTTTACCACATCTCTAAGGTTTCGTGATGTAAAACTAAGGAGAATGAATTTTAGGTCCCATCTCATAAGGACGTTAATTACTGAAATACTAAAAAGAATTTATTTCACCTCTAAGAAGGCTCCATACAATGGGATCAAAGAAATACAATGCATATTCAGTGCTTGTGAAATAGATTGCATATATATTCCACATACTCATAAAATTTTCAGCGACTGATCATCTAATTGAACTGCCTAGTACTGTGTTAATTTTACAAATATATAGGAAACACTGAAACTTCAATTTGATAGTCAGTAGACAACTCTGTCCCCACACTTATGTTTATTAAAAACTGACAAACAAACAAAACCTGTACAAAAAAATATTCCCATTCCATGTCATTTTGAAACAGTAATCTTGAGACATTATCGTCTAGGACCCCCTCTTCCTCTGCCACGGCCACGTCCTCTTCCTCTACCTCGGCCTCGACCTCTTCCTGCAACTGGGGGAAAAGAAAACAAAGCAAGGTAAATTCCCTTCAGTAGTAACATTACCTGGCTACTAATAACAGCCATTTCGTGCTTTTCCTTAATTACCAGCTACAGTAAAACTATAACTCAGCTTCTCTCAAATAAGTACCACCACCATCATGTAAAACCAAGAACTACTAGCAGTAATGAGGCAATTGTATCTGTTTCCTCTAAACTAATTAAGAAATCTGTCAAGTTCAAAAGCATTTTTCTCAGGGCTGGAGAGATGAATCAGCAGTTAAGAGCACTGGCTGCTCTTGTAGAGGACTGGGATTTGGTCCCCAGTACCCATATGGTGGTTTACAACCATCAGACTCCAGTTCTAGGGGATCCAAAACCCCCTTCTGGCCTCTCCAGGTGCTGTAAGAATGCGACACACTTGTACACATGCAGGTAAAACCCTTACATATGGGGCTGGGAAGATGGTTCAGCAATTAAGAGTACCAGCTATTCTTGGTGAGGACCCAGGTTCAGTTGCCAACATTCACATGGCAGCTGTCTTTAACTCCAGTTCTAGGGGATTGATGCCCTCTTCTGACTTCCGTGGGCACTGCACGACATGGGTGCACTTACATACATGCAGCCATGTATACATACAAAATAAAAATAGCCAGGTGTGGTGGCTCATGCCTTTAATCCCAGCACTCAGGAGGCAGAGGCAGGCAGATCTCTGTGAGTTCAAGGCCAGCCTGGTCTACATAGTGAGTTCTAGGATAGCTGGGGCTACAGGGAGACCCTGTCTCAAAAAGACCAAAAAATAAATAAATAAAAAAGAAAAAAATAATAGTATTTTAGAAAACCCTCATACATCTTAAAATAAAAAAAAAAAACCAGTTTAAAGTATTTTTCTCTCAAATTTGCTACAAACTAAAATATAAATGATTTGGACCACACATTAGATGGAAGGGATTCTGTATCAGTAGGGCAGAAAATGAACACTCTGTGATAGATTTCTGGTTATTTAAGGCCAAGAAAGTTTAAGTACATTACATCAAATAACAATCTTATAACACCAGAACTTTAAAACTTGTTTGATCCGTAGGGTGTGGTGGTGCACACCTTTAGTCCCAGCAGAGGCAGGTGGATCTCTGTGACTTCAAAGCCAGCCTGGTCTATGTAGTGAGTTCCAGGCCTGCTGGACCTACAGGGAGACCCTGTCTCAAAAAACAATCAAACTTGTTTGACCCAAGCTGGGGGTGGTTGTGCATACCTTTAACCTGACACCCAGGAGGCAGAAGGCGGCCAGCCTGTTCTACATGGTGAACTGCAGGCCAGCTGGGGCTATAGGAAGACCCTGTCTCAAAAAAGACCAAAGCCCTGGGTCTGATTACACACACACACAGGAAAGAAAGGCAAAGAAAACACAGTATACTTGCTTAGCATATTCAAAGCCTGGAAGCTTTCTTCAGGGGTGGGGGAGGGTTAACAAGGTCTCATGTGATGTAACTCTCAATGTAGTCAAGGATGACCTGGAACGCCTGATCCTCCTGCCTCCACCTCCCAAGTACCATGATCATAGGCAAGTGCTACCATGCCAAACTCTGGATTTAATTCGTACACACACAACCTAATATTTGTAAGGTCAAAGAAAGGCAGAGGAAATATAATGGATGAAAGATTTTAAGAAACCTTTTAGAGTTACAAAGTAGACTGAGATTTTTATCATCGTCCCGCCCCACTTTCTGAATCAAACCCAGGGCTTTAGCATGTTAGACAAGAGTTCCCACGGAGCTATGTCCCCACCCCCGGGAATGTTTAGTAAAACTACAAACAGTTCCTAAAGAAACTAGGACTCTAGAGACTGAAAACAAAAATGGCCAACATTCTTTCTGGGGAATCAATCAGATTGATCCTAGTCCTTTTCCTCGTCCTATAAAGCTTGTCATTGTTCCCTTGACAGGGAGGAAAAGAAAAGGTAGAATGACTCTAAAGACATGAAAACAAAGGCTTTAGATTTAAAAATATAGCAGCATAAGGCAAGGGACTGTTAAGATGGGAAAGATGGATTAAATCAGTGTTATTAAGCCCATGTAGTACCACCAGATTTTTTTTTTAACTGAAAGAGAATAGAATTCTTTAAGGACATCGGTATTAAGATAACTAATTCTTGTGGGTTACAACACAAAGTGCATTTCTGGGTGGAAGCAAAAAGGACTCAAAGTCAATACATTAACAGAACATGAAAGTTTCAGATTCTGAAATTGTGGATCTGCTTAGTGAAGAGACCAACTTTGGAACAATCATACACAAAGACCCTCTAGAAGCCAGCCTGGTGGCACATGCCCAAGATATCAGCTACTTAGGGAGACTGAGTATGAGGATCACAAGTTCAAGGTTAGCCTTGGGCAATGTGCCAAGACCAGCACAAGAAAAGCAAAATGTAGGCCAGCAAAATGGCACAGCAGGTAAAGTTGCTTGCTGCCAAGCCTGATAGCCTGAGTTTAATCCCTAGGAACCACATGGGGTCCTAACTTCCACATGTACACCACGGTACTCACATACAAATACCCAAGTAAATAAATGTGTAAAAAAATGAGGGATGGGGATGTAACTAAGTAGTAATGTGTTTGTTTTGCTTGTGCAAGATTCTAGGCTCAATCTCCCAGTATGGCAAGATATATTAAAAATTATTTGTTTTTTTGCTGGGTGTGGTGGTGCACACTTTTGACCCCAGCACTTGGGAGGCAGAAGCAGGTGGATCACTGAGAGTTTAAGGCCAGCCTGGTCTACATAGTGAGTTCTAGGCCAGCTGGGGTTACAGGGAGACCCTGTCTCAAAAAGATCAAAAGAAAAAAAAAAAACCCAAACGATTTGTTTCTATTTTTATTATCCTGTTTGTGTATGTGTGGGCGAGTATGCCGGAAGACAAGGCAATGTTCAGGAGTTGGTTTCTCCTTCTGCTGTGTGTGCTGAAACTGAACTCAGGTCGTCAGGCTTGATAGCAAGCCTGAACTATCTCTTACAGTCACTTTCCACAGAACTTGTTTTTTAAGGTCCTTGTTAAATAAAAGGAGGCTAGAGCTCCCAAGATACTACAGAATTCAGTATAAAAAGACCAAATAAAAAGATAAAGAAATTAGAGAAAACCGATTAGGGACATAGCTCAGATGAGAGAGTGCTTGCCTAGCATGAGTGAGGCTTGGTTCCATTATCAGCACCACAGAAACCCAGAATGGTGTTCATTCCTGTAATCCTAGCACTTGGGATGGGGAGGCAGGAGGATTAAGTTATCCCAAGCTATACAACTAATTCGAGACTAGCCTGGGTTACATGAGATCCTATCTCAAAAAAGAAAAAAAAAAAAAGAAATCAGAGAAAACTAAAAGCATCAAATACAGCAAACTTCAGAAAGCCCTCTTCTGAACTCTGCGGATATTTGCATGACACAGGTGCACTTACATACATGCAGGCAATACACTTATACACAAAAACTAAAAATATTTTTAAAATATGTAAATAAAATTAAGAAGACATGAGGTTGGGGTGGGGAGAAAATGTCCAGGAAGGGGAAGTGAGGGATGGATCTAATCAAAACACTGTATACATGTATAAAATTCAAGAGGATTTTTTTAAAAACAAAAATTAATCTTATTAACAATAAGCAAAACTATGACATCCACAAAATAAGAACAGGATCTTTTGAAAACTGAACAAAGGGGGCTTGAACATTAAGAACATGCTCAAACAAAGCCAGGTGAAGGATATTTCTCAGAAGATGGAACAAAAAGGCAAGGAGAAAGAAGAGAAAGAATCAGACAGTCAAAAGGCCAAGTGTGAATTCCGGGAAGAATAAAGGAAATTACCAAAGTAGGAAGTTTTCTTAGCTGTAACAGAAAGAAATTCACAATGAAAGAATTCACCAACAAAATCAATCGACGAAAGAAAGAGGAAGCTCTCAAGAGTCAACCTCCATGGGCTGGACAGACAGCATAGCTGCTGAAGGCACTGGCTGCTCTTGCAGAGGACCTGGGTTTGATTCCCAGCACCCACAAGGTGGCTAACAACCATTCATTAACTCCAGTTGCAGGGGATCCGATGCCCTCTTCTGACCTCTGGGGGTATTACGTGACAAGGGTGCACCTACATACATGGAGGTAATACATTCATACATATAAAAGAAAATATTTTAATAAATATTAAAAAAAAAAAAAAAGTCAACCTCCATATCAAGTGTGAGTGGACAGCAGAACAGACGGGCTCCCAAGGACAGCAAAGAAGACTGGCAGCACTTTTTATTTCTGAGACAGGGTTTCTCTATGTAGCCCAGGATGACCTCAAACTCAAAGAGATCCACTTGCCTCTACCTCCCAATTGCTGGGATTAAAGGTATTTGCTACTATGCCTGGCCAGTATCATTCTTTTTAATAGCAACATCAGCAGCTATAAGCACTGCATAAACTCATACAAGCATACAGTATTTAAAACAGCAAAATACCCCCATTATTTACAAGTCTTTTTTTAATTATTTTAATTTTATGTGTACAAGTGTACTGCCTGCATATATGTGAGTGCGCCCATATCGTGCAATGCCGCAGAGGTCAGAAGAGGGTTTCGGATTCCCCTGGAACTGGAGTTAAGGATGGTTCGTAGCCACCATGTGGGTGCTGGGAATCAAACCCAAGTCCTCTTCAAGAGCAGTCAGTGCTCTTAATTGCTAAGCCATCTCTCCAGTCCCCACAAGTATTTCTGAATAGTGGATTACGATGTACATACACTGTACCACTATCTGTAAAACCTTTATAATCCTTCAAACTTACCAGCTTCCCTTTTCTTAGATTTCACTTTAGGTTCAACATCCACAAGGAGCGTATCCAGAGGTAAACTGTCTGGTAGAATAAAATAGCGAATGTTATTTCCTCGAATACTTAATGTTTCCAACTGTACAGGCTCTCTGTTCTTCAGGGTCATTTTCACAGCTTTAAGATGTGTATTCATGCTGACATCTACACCTAAAGGGGAAAAAAATAGAACAATTATCAGCACAAGTAAAAAGGCTATCAATCGAATGTAAGTTTCTGGGACAGAATTAATTCTCACATGTGAGGGGGAAATAATGTCAATGCAAATTAACAATTTTTCTTCCATAAAGAATTTTCCTGGGAGCTAGAGAGATGGCACTGAGGTTAAGAGCACTGGCTGCTCTTGCAAAGGACACGGGTGTGTGTCCTAGCACCCATGTGGCAGCCAAAAACCATCCATGACTCCAGATCCAGGGGAGTCAATGCCCTCTTCTGACCTCCTCAGGCATTACACAACATGGGTGCACTTACATACATGTAGGCAATACATTCATACACATAAAAAATAAAAATTTTCAAAAAAAAAAAATTTTCCTAACCACAGTACCGCTGTACATAGTGAATGAACTGGTGGTATGATGGTCACACCTGTCATTCCAACATGCAAGAAGCTGAAGCAAAAGGATTGCCTGAGTTAAAGGCCAGCATGGAATACAAAGCAAGAACCCCTGATAGACAGAAGTAATGCAGCAAGCCTGGAAGGACCCAGGAATTCAGGAATTTTGCACATGCTTTATGTCCACTACTTCCTGAGTTGAATTGTTGTCCCAGGCTTCGATGGTGTTTGTGACACAATTCTCACATTTTCTAACTTCCTACCAAGCTCTGCTCACCTTTCTTTTGTGATCCTCCTCCTCTAGTCTCCCAAGTGCTCATGGCACCCATCATACCCAACTAAACATGTTAATTTAAAAATATGTACAGGGGTTAGAGAGATGGCCCAGTCATTAAGAGCCCATACTGGTCTTCCAGAGGATACAGATTTTGGCTCCCAGCATCGACACCTGGCAGTTCAACAACCTCCTGGAACTGCAGCTACAGGGGATCCAATGCCCTCTTCTGGCCTCCACAGGCATTGCATACATGTGGTACACTTACATATGTGCATGCAAAACACTTATACACACACACACACAAAAAATTTAGTTTGTATATATTCAGTATATGTTGCAAATGACTGCATGTGTATACATGTGTGGAGGCCAGAGGTTGACACCGGGTGTCTTCAGCTGCTCTCTACGTTTAAATATATTAAAATTTTATTTATTTGTGTGTTGAGTGTTTAGGTAGGAGGACCACTTGCAGGAGTTGGTCTTTTCCTTCCACTATGTGGGTCCTAGGGATTGAACTCAAGTCGTCAGGCTTTGGCAGTAAGCACCTTAACCCAGAGGCATCTTGTGGTTCCCCCCTCCATTTGAATTTTATTTATGTTTTTACTATTTGAGATAGGGTCTCACTAAGTAGCCCTTGGCTGTCCTGGACCTCACTATGTAGACCAGGCTGGTCTCATATTCATTATAGATCTGCCTGCCTCTGCCTCCTTATAAAGGCATGTACCACCAAGTCCAGAACTCACATGCATACTTTACTTTCTAAGGCAGGGTCTCTCACTGAACCTGAACTCACCAATTCAGCTAGAGTAGCTGGCTGGACAGCAAGATCTGTTGATCTTTCAATCCCTGCCTCCCCAGGGCTGGTGTTACAGGTGTACTTCATGCCCAACATTTTTAGAGGGGTGCTGGGTATCTTGTATGGTAAGCAATTTACAAACTAGGCCATTTCTCTAATCCCTTAGTATGTCTTTTTAGCTGTGAAGTCTTGCCTCTGCTTCCCAAGTGCTGGGATCAAAAGCATGCACCACCATGGAACTCACTATGTAGACCAGGCTGGCCTCGAACTCACAAAGATCTGCCTGCCTCTGCTTCCCAAGTGCTGGGATCAAAAGCATGCACCACCACGCCCGGCAAAGTCTTACTTTTTTTATTTGGTGGTACAATGGATTGAACCCAGGGCCTCGAACATGCTAGGCAAGTGTTCTATCACTGAGTACATCCCTGCCCTAATCTGTGGGTTGTTATGGTTTGTTTTTCCTGTGGACAGATTCTCACTATGGAGCCCAGGCTTGCCTCTAACTACTGGCAATCCTCCTGCCTTACCCTCTTAAACTGGCTGGCATTGCAGACATGAGCCACCAGGCCAGGATGCTACTGTTTTTGTTAATACTTTGATACAAAGTTGTACACATTTCCCCTGAATTATCCCAACATATTTTTCTTATTAAGCCATTATTTGTAGGGTATAAAAGCACTGTTTTCCGGATGAATATTTGGCATTACAGAAGTACCTGATTATTGGTGTTTTTATCAAGTACATCTGAACAAATGGCATAACCAAAAACCTACTTAATTTCTTTCCTTAGAAAGGACAGAAAACATGAATTACAAATCCTTTCTTTTTTCCAAAGAAAGGTCCTCTTCTTTCCTAAAACAGGCTCTTGATATATCCCATATCTACCATCTCCCTAGGGACACTGAACTACACAGGAAGGGTAGAGAAGAGAGGTTTAGATTTATGATCTCCAATGTTCTAGGAACTAACTACACTTCAGGCCATTTGAACTTAGCCCTCACTATCTCTGTGGCAGATAGCATGATTATCACCACTGTGATGAGTAAAGAGGACGTGTTTAATTTTCATATGTTTATATGGAACACAGATACTTCAATAATGAGAGGGAATTAGATCTTTACTAGATTTTGTTCCCCAATTTACCAAAACTTTCTGCCCAAGAAAGCCATTATTAAGTGTGTATTATATATTTGGTAAAACTTATAATATGTTTTTTGTATTATATCTTTCATCACTAGATTTTTATTTCAAAAATAGGCAAGAATACAATTCTGGGGGTTGGGGATACAGCTCAGTTGATAAAAGTACTTGTCTAGCATACATGAAGCCCTGAATTTAGTCCCTATTACTAAATAAACCAGGCATGGTAGCAGAATCTGATAATCCCAGTGTTCCAATAGAGGCAGGAGGACCAGAACTCCATCTTCAAGTATACAGTGAGTTTGATACCAGCTTGGACTACAGAAGCCCTGTCTCAAAAAAATAATAAAACACAGCCAGGCATGGTGGTGCACGCCTTTGATACTAGTACTCGGGAGGCAGAGGCAGGTGGATTTTGTGAGTTCAAGGCTAGCCTGGTCTACAAAGTGAGTTCCAGGCCAGCTGGGGCTATAGGGAGACCCTGTATCAAAAAGACAAAAAATAAATAAATAAATAAAAAATAAAACACAAGAAAAACTCCAGCTCCTCCACAACACCTAAACAGTGCTTTATGGAGAGCAGACTAAATAATCACTACTAAGGGAACATTGGCAGGAAAGCAACTGCGCTTCCTCAGACACAGCCATAGATGGTTATCGTAACCGTTTACAATGGCAACTGCCTTTACAGCTAGTATAAAACTCCAGTAAAGTCACAAATAGCATCATGTTATGTCTCTTGGTTTATTAAGATGCTGAACCTACAAATCAACTGGATGCAGGCACATGCCTTTAATCCCAGCACTCAGGAGGTAGAGGGAGGCAGAGCTCTGAGATTCAGGCAAGTCTGGACTAGGCAGTGAGACCCTGTCTCAAAACAAAAGACAGCATTTTTTTCTTTCATTTGGCCAAATCACTTCTTTTGAAATTTTGCAATCTTTTGGAATATTAGCAAAGAACATGTTACAAATCATTAAACTCATCAGGTCATCAGACCATAAATAAAGATAGGAAAGTAAAAAGGTAGGAAGAGACTGGTATCAGCAGGAGGGGAGCAGGATAATAGAGGGCGAATAGGATAAAAATGCAATATACACATATGAAAATACCAACGTGAAACAAACATAACATACACCACACAAACTTCTAATTAAAGTTAAATGTTTCAAATGTGTTCTAGAAGAAGCAACATTCTATATAGGAGCATATACTATAAAGGTACACAAACCAAGAAAACAGGATTACCTAAGCAATTTGCTTTGGTTGTAGAATACTAATGCAATGCTTAATAAAGGTCCATTCAATAAATGATAAAAAGACCAAGGACCTAAACTATACAAATGCTCATTAAGTAATTAAAAAAACCTCTTTCACAGGTGGAGAAGGGGGGGGAAATCTGCAAATGGAAACAATACATCATAAAGCAATCCAACCTCTTTACCTGTGATCGTTCCATGGACTTGTGTTCCATTCTTCAGTTCAATGGTTACAGTTTCATGGCTCAATTTCATCAAAAATCTATAAAAACAAAGTTAGAATTTTTACTTTTAACACTTTAAAGTCATATTTGCAAAGCTGGAAGGGTGAACCCACTAGATGTTCAGTCTTCTAATATAATCTATGAAGCACCTTCAACTTAAAAATTTCTTATTATTTTTATTTTATGTGTATGCATGTATTGCCTGTGTGTAGGTAAGTGCACCCACATCGTGCAATGCCCACAGAGGACAGAAGAGGCTGTCTGATCCTCTGGGACTGGAGTTACAGGCAGTTGTTAGCTGCCATGTAGATGCTGGGATTTGAACCCGGGTCTTCTGCAAGAACAAGTGTTCTTTTTTTTTTTTTTTTGGTCTTTTTGAGCCTTCTCCCTGTAGCCCCAGCTGTCCTGAAACTCACTATGTAGACCAGGCTGGCCTTGAACTCAGAGATCCGCCTGCCTCTGCCTCCCAAGTGCTGGGACTACAGGAGTGCACCACCACGCCCAGCCTAGGAACCAGTGTTCTTAGCTACCAAGCCATGTCTCCAGCCCCACTTTCAACTTTTTTTTAAATAAACAAACTGTCAAATTTAGAAGCCTGATTCTCTAGGGAGATTTCCGACCTTTTAGCTTCTCCGGACTACACAAGATGAAGAACTGTCTTGGGCCACACACTCCAGCACACACTCCAGGTTCTAAGAACAGACTGTTTATTTTGGGGATGAGACATCATCTACAAAGTTCATGCTTGAGAACTACATGATTGAGCTACAAAAAGATCACACACACACAAAAAAAGCTCACAATGTTTTGTATTAGTGATTTTTTTGGACTCACTTTGTAGACCAGACCAGTCTCAATCTCAAGGATCTACCTGTCTCTGCATCCAGGTTCTGGTATTAAAGGTCTGAGTCACCACACCCTATGTTAAGTTAGTGACTGTGTGTGGAAAACATTCATGGCTATCCTGGGCTATGACCCGGACCTCCCTACTTGAGTGTAAACCACTACACAATTAAGATCAAATGAAGACTTTAAGATTCTTGACTCATTCCAAGCTACAAAAAAGAAACTGAGACTTCTAATTGGTAGCATGGTAAAATAAAGAGCCTTTCTTCCTATACTCTCTGTGGACAGATAGTCTACATTTTAGACACACATACCTAAGATTTGTCTTTTCATGAAGTAGGCCATACTTTAAGGACTTCTTTAAAATAGTCTTATCTTTAAAATTTATGTGTATGTGTTTGTCTCCACTTATGTATGTATGTATGTATGCACGCATACCACATGCATGCTTGGTGCCCATAGAGTCAGAAGAGGGTGTTGGATCCCCCAGAACTAAAGCTACAGATAGCTGTGAGCTGTCATATAGATGCTGGGAACTAAACCCGGATTCTCTGCAAGAGTAGCACATGCTCTTAACCACTAAGCCATCTCTCCAGCCTCCTTTAATGACTTAACAGCTAGGTCTCATTTAGTAGTTTATACTGGAGATACTTCGTAAAAATAAATATTCCAAGTCAATATTAAAGAAATGTCAAACTTATCCTTCTGTGATGCACATTATTTTAACCTTTCATTATTACAAACCCACTGATGCACACCCTCATCAACACTAGCCAACAATCTCCCAAAATTTTTTTAATTAAAAAAGAATGAGGGGCAAGGCATGGTGGGGCAGATGGATCTCTGTGAGTTCAAGGCCAGTCTGGTTTACATAGTGAGTTCCAGGCCAGCCCCCACTACAGGGAGACCCTGTCTCAACAACACCAAAAAACCCCAACAACAACAAAAATCCACACGCTGAGAACAGGAGTGGAACACTAGGGTCATATTGATATTCTATATTTAAAACATCAATTAAACATTATTTTATGTGTATGAGTGTATTGCCTACATGTGTGAGTGCACCATGTCATGCAATGCCCACGGAGGTCAGAAGAGGGCATCGGATCCCCTAGAACACAAGCTACGGAGGGTCGTTAGCCACCATGTGGGTCCTGGGAACTGAACCAGGGTCCTCTGAAAGAGCAGTAACTGTTCTTACCTGCTAACGCATCTCTCTAGCCCCTCAAAACATCAACTTTAAGGAGACAAAGTACACCTCTAGGACACATGGGGTGGCTAGAACAGTATGCAGGTTAAAACTACAGTAATCAGAGCATAAGAAACAAACAGGTCACCCAGGCATAGTGGCACACACCTTTAATCCCAGCACTTGGGAGGCAGAGGCAGGTGAATCTTTGTGAGTTCCAGGCCAGCTGGGGTAACAGGGAGACCCTGTCTTAAAAGGAATGAATGAAACAAACAAGCAAGCAAACAGATCAAAACAACAGCACAGAGACCCCAGAAACAGACCCTCATCTGCTTGATTTTCCATAAAGTTACAAATGTATTCCAATAAGTAAACGTACATTTTTTTTCAACAAATGGTAGTTCATACCAGGGAGGTAGGAGTACTGCACAAATTCAAGGTCAGTCTAAGCTACAATGTGAGACCCTACCTCAAAAAAAGGAGGAGAAAAATATCCAAAATTCACGACAAATTATAGTCCCAAACATAAAAGTTAAAATTAACAATGCTTGGGGCTAGAGAGATGGCTCAGTGGTTAAGAGCACTGACTGTTCTTGCAGAAGACCAGGGTTTGAACCCCAGCACCCATATGGAGGCTAACAAATGCCTGTAATTCCAGTTCCGGGGGATCTTAGGCCCTCTTCTAGCCTCAGGCATCCCACAACACGAGTGCACTTACATACATGCAGGCAATACACTCATACACATTAAAAAAAAACTAACAAAGCTCTGGGGATGGCTCAGAGGTAAAGAATGTCTTGCAGAGGACTGAGTTTTGTTCCCAGTATCCATGATGGGATGCTCACAACTGTCTGTAACTCCAGAGGAATCACTTTCTTCTGCCTCTGCCAGGTACTGCGAAACACGGGTGTACTTACATACACACAGGCAGAACATTCACACACTTTTTTTTTTTAAAGGAACTAAATCATGGTAGGAAAAAAACCTCAAACCAGCCAGGCGTTTTTTTTGTTGTACTAAGTGTTTTTATGCTACTGCCTCAGTGGTGTGGGAGTTTATATAAATATCCTCTTTAGGGCTGGGCACTTAGTCTCTTATTTTTAGCGCTTTGATCAGTTATGAGTTTCTAAAAAAAAAAAAAAAAAAAAAAAAAAAAAAAAAAAAAAAAAAACCCTCAAACCTCAGTGTATTACCCTATCTAAGCCAAGGAGAAAATAAATTCAAATTGTTTTCCAATGAATTCTTTGTTTTGTTGACTTTTGTTTTTACTAAGGAAGTTGAACACCAAATATTCAGGTAATATGGAGTGCTTTCAGTACTCACATTCACACTATGCAAACACAAAGACCAAAGAGAACTGGATAGTGAGAGATATATTAATTAAGTAAAAATAGCAAAACTGGCAATTTCTCAGATGACAGGAAGATCAAGAGATAAGTACTTAAGCACATTTCCCAGGCTTTTGGTTAAGGTGACAGAAGGATAAAGGATGACAGTCCCACTAATATCAATTAGTGCATCACACAAATAAGAAATCATATGACTATGCAAACCAGGCAAACAATCATTTTCATGAGGCAAAATACATTCTCCAATAAGAAATTCTGCTTCTATATTGTCGTACATGAACCAAAATAGGACTCAATACAAACCACTAAAAGTAACAGGAAAGATCTGGAGATTTATTTCAGTAGTAGAGCCACCCTAGCATGCTGGAAGTTTGCTGGAGTTCAAACCCCAGTACCACCCCTCAAAGGCAAAATTCTATTTAACTAAATCTTTAAATGATAAAAATAGCTGGGCGTGGTGGCTCAGATCTTTAGTCCTAGCACTCAGGAGGCAGAGGCAGGCTGACCTCAAGGAGGCCAGCCTGGTCTACATAGCTGAGTTCCAGGCCAGCAGGGGCCACAAGGCCTTGTCTCAAAAAGACAAAACAAACCAACAAAAAGAGATGAAAAAAATTAGGGCTGGAGAGATGGCTCAGCAGTTAACAGCACTGACTGCTCTGCAAGAGGACCCAGGTTCGATTCCCAGTACCCACATAGCAGCTATGAATCGTCCTTAACTCCAGTTCCAGAGGAATCCAAAGCCCTCTTCTGACCTCTGCGCATTGTACCACACGGGTGCACTCACATACATGCAGGGAATACACATAAAATAACAAAATGTTTTTTTAAAAGGATAAAAAATTAATCCAAATATATTACATGAAATTAAATGCCAATATGTAATTGACATTAGGCAGTATGAAGAAACTGCAAATGTATTTTAAATTCTGAGACTTTCTACTCAGTTATAGTTTAAGTAAAACTGAAACTGAGGGTGTAGAGTCCTTACTGGAAGCCCTGGGTACTTTTCCCATGACCAGGAAAACAAAGATGAAAATTAAGTGTCGTCTCTATAAACTCCCCTTGAACAGGATTTTTGTTATTTTTAAACAAACCAGAAGCAATCTATATTGTCTATCGCTAAACAGAAAACTTCAAAAAAATGCCAAAGACCCTTCCTTCTAAAAAAAACTCTATGACTTGTGCACAGATATTACAGATGCCCTATAGCAGCGGTTTGGTCAACCACAACCATTCTTGACTCATCCAATAACTGGCTTGGTTATAGGCCGTTCCAGGCTTGGCTTCAAATCTCTTTGTCAATTAATCATACCAGCAAAGTAGCCTTTAGTAGGTTCCACTAGCCGACGTAGTCACAAAAAGAAAAACAGGAATTATCTGTGCAATCAGGAAAAATTAGAGATAACTTCTGCCCCATCCGGGGAGATTTTCGTCAATCAAAAGCCTAAATAATGTAGTTCGGCTAATCCGTCATAGATTAGAGAAGATTAAAAATAAACACTAAAATCCACAAATTTATGTGGAAGGACTGTGTTTTAAAGCACTTTGCAAATCGTTCCATGCTATCTCGCAGTTCCCGTCGGTGCAACTAGCTCGACTTTCGATCTGAACCACAACCGCGCAGCCGCGTCCCGGTCTCTGGGTATAAGATGGGCAGAGGCGGGCGGAGGCGATGGGCCTCCCGGATCTGCAGGACCAGGCGGCCCCTATGCGGGGCCCTCGCCCAGACCGGAGCACGGTCGGCTCAAAGATGGGCGCGAACGGGCGCCAGAGCCGTTGGCGGGCCGCGCACGCGGCTTTCCCGCTTCCCTGCGAGCGCGGCCTCCCGGGCCGCCCACGCCCTCCCCGCGGCCCTAGCCCAGCCGGGGGAGCCTCCTCACCTTACGAGCTTCATTCTAGCGGTGCCGTCTCCCTCCTGGAGCGACCGTTCACACAAGCCCACCGCCCAGGACCCGCGGACTAGTAGTATGAATGGCCGGAAGAGCGCGCGAAGGCCTGCGGACGCGAGGCGGAAACGCCTGGGCGCGCGGCTTTCCGGCCACGGGCGGCGCCACAGCGATCCCTAGCGACTGGAGGACTGCGGTGCGCCTGCCTGCGGCCAGAGGGCTGCTGGAGCTGGACCGGCAGGAGCGAGTTTAGAAGACCTTAAACCAGGTAGCAAAGCCTGGCGCCATCCCGCTTTGAAGGAAGAGGACTTCTGAGAGACACTCAGACGCTTCCAACATCTGAAACCTCAGCATTAATTAATGCACCGGAAGGAAATCACACAACTTAGCATCCTCTTTTTCTTTTCTTTAAGACGGTCTCACTAGCCCTTGGCTGACCTGGAACTCACTATATAAACCAGGCTGGCCCCCAGTTCATAAAGATCTGTCTGCCTTTACCTCCTGAGTGTTGGGATCAAAGACGTGGGTCACCGCACCTGGCTTGGCTGATTATTTTCACTTTAATTCTGAGCTTCAGGGCGGGTGAGATGGATCACCGAGGAAAGGTGGTTGCTGCCAAGCCGCAAGGCCTGCGTTTGATCCCTGGGACTCACATGGTAGAAAGGACAGAACTGACTACCAAAAGTTTTCTTTTGACCTCCACCCCATCCCATAAAAAATAATTTAAAAAATATCTGACCCTCCAAGACAAAGATTTTTTTACCTTTAACTCAACAGGTCAGCAACATTTAATACAAATCTTCGAAGCACTGTTCTCTTTTGGTTCCCAGAATTTAAAGCACATCTGATTTTCTTCCTATTTCTCTCTAGGTCTCTACAGATAGCTTAGCTTATCCTTTTCTTAGGTAGCCATCACATGTTGGAGTGCTTTGGAGCTTACAGCTGTAGTCTCTTCATGGATACTTTATCCTGTGATCTCCAAAACTGGCTTCAATTTGTACACTAGCCTGAACTTCACCCAGATCATCAGAACTCTTCGATATTGTAAAGGCACCCTCATTAAACTTTAAAATGCATAGGGCTCATCTGGGGAAAGTAAAATGAAAAATTGAATTCAGTTGTAGGGGCTGAAATTTTGTATTTTAAAAAGACTTTAGTTGAGGAAGATGGCCCTGGGGCTCTGGACACAATCTCAGAGTCAGGGTTGTAATGCTGTGTATGCTGCTTTCTCAACATCTATCCCTTGTTCTTCCCACAACTTCCTAACGTCCTTCAGGTGATTCAAGTGGAACTGAGAGAAGCTGACTCTGCCCATTATATCAAGGATCAAGTTGTACTACTTGACCACAATTGCTTGTCAATTTACCTGAGCCCATCAGAAACCAGTACCCATGATTATATCATTAAGTCCCTAGGGCTAAAAAAATTTCAATGCTTGAACATGGGTATTTCAGTTAAAATTAAAAATTCATTGCAACAACCATATTATAACAATGGCATGTGGTTACAGTGCAGATAGACTATTTTCATTATCACAATTAGTTTGATAAAGTTGGATAATTTTAATTTACTATTGTGCTTCATTCTTAGCTTTATTTATTTATTTATTTTATTATTATTATTATTTTGTCTTTTTGAGACAGGGTCCCCCTGTAGCCCCAGCTGTCCTGGAACTCACTATGTAGACCAGGCTGGCCTTGAACTCACAGAGATCCGCCTGCCTCTGCCTCCCGAGTGCTGGGATTAAAAGCGTGCGCCACCATGCCCCGCTATTTATTTATTTTTTGGTCTTTTTGAGACAGGGTCTCCCTGTAGCCTCTTCTGGCCTGGAACTCACTACATAGACCAGGCTGGCTTTGAACTCACAGAGATCCGATTGCCTCTGCCTCCCGAGTGCTGGGATTAAAGGAGTATGCCACTGTGCTCAGCTTTCATTCTCAGCATTTATTGATTTATTTACTGTCTGCTAGGAGATTGTAGTGTCTGAAAAGAGGGAACTGCAACTGTTCACTGCCTTCAGTATCTAGAATACAGCCTTGACATAACATGCCCTTTTCACAAATAACCCAGTTCCCAATGCAGGAAAACTGGTTCTGAGGGCTTATAAAACCAAAGAAGCAGACAGGCAGATCTAGGACTAGAGTACACAGTTTACTGTTGACTTCCAACAGAAGCATGAGTCTGTGAGGCAGGAAGACCTCATAGATCCTTGGGATTGGTTATAAGATAGGTCAAAAGTGATTTTAGAACTAGGCATCATAGTCCAGGTTTGAGACTAGCCTGGACTACATTGCCAGACCCTATCCCAAACTCTTCCTCCCCTCCCAAAAAAGTAATTTCAGGGTGGGTATGGTAGTACATGCCTTTAATCCCAGTACTAGGAAGGCACATCCAGGTGGATCTCTGTGAGTTTGTGACCAGCCTGATTTATATAGAGTTCCAGGCCAGCCAGGACTAGACAGTAAGACCCTGTCTCAAAAAAACCAAAAAAAACAAAAACAAAAACAAAAAAACCCAACAACAACCATCCCCCCCAAACCCAAAGTGATTTCATCAAAGTCAGAATGTACCTGGTTTATCTCACACTAATACCAGAATCAGGCACATTCTTGAGCCAAGATCTGGTCATAAAGTTCTATATACCACTTTCATGATTTTTTATCTATTTTATGCTGGAAAATTGACCAGTGTGATTCAGGGGTAACTGTACTAGTTACTACTAAAATGGCTTCAGTCATGTCAAGCTGAGTCTATATAGTCCTGGATTCATATTGGTTAACAATTGAATTGAATACCTTCCCATATTAGAACATATGAGGAGGGAGACCCTGTGTGTATGGTTCACTGCAGTGACTCCACCACTGAGTGACCACAGGGTAGTTACCCCCCTTCCTCTTCTTACTCCTCCTCCTCTTCCTCTTCTTTCTCCTCCTCCTCTTCTTCTTCATCTTCTTTTTCTGACAAGGTCTCACTAGGTAGTCTTGGCTGACCTATAACTCACTATGTAGATCAGGCTGGCCTAGCACTCACAGAGTGAGTGCTCACCTACCTCTCCCTCCTGAGTGCTGAGTTTAAAGTCAGATCTTTGTGAGATGGAGGCCATCTGGTCTACATAGCAAGTTCCAGGCTAGCTAGGACTACAGGGAAACTCTGTCTCAAAAATAAATAAAAATAATAAAATACTAGAGAAATTTATGTTTCCCCCAAAACCATACAATGTGGTCCTGTAAGCAAAGCAGTTGCCATCTTCATCAGATCAGCTATATCTGCTTACAAGTCATCACCATAGATTGGGTTAGACTGTTGACATTTCCTCACAGGAGGAGCTAGGGAGGGTCATTAAACCCTCACCTGAGATTCCAGCAACCCCTCCTAGCAATATGTTTTTGTTTTTTGCCTTATTTTTCGAGACAGGGTCTCCCTGTAACCACAGATGGCCTGAAACTCACTATGTAGACCAGGCTGGCCATGATGTAAGATCTGCCTGCCTCTGCCTCCTACTAAGTGCTAGGATTAAAGGTGTGCATCACCAACCCTACCTCCCAGCCATTTGTATGGACTTCTGCCTTAATTGCACCTGGCTGCAGGGTTGGCAGGGATGTGGGTGTGTTTCTGGAGGTGCTACAGTATATACATTAGGCCAGGTTAAGTAAAGGGGGCTCCATACTTGGTGAAGACTTTACAGTGCAGCTGCTTTAAGGTCAACCAGGTTCCTGCCAGTCACCCCTCATGCTCTGGAAGTAAGCTCAATAACTCATTGGTTCCTTGGTGTGAACTTTAGTTGTCCTTGGGACTTTATGAGAAGGGGGCAGACATTGTTTGTTGCTTATGTCATCCCCAGGGAAGGAACTCCTGAAATAGGAAAAAAATTTTTTTAGAGATGAAAAGCTAAAACAGATTACAACAAATTGCTTTTGGAGGGGAGGTAACAAGGTCACACACACAAAACAACCTTCCTCAGCATTCCTCCCCATACACATGAGGAGACTGGGGATGAGGTCAAAGGGCAGGGCTTTCTAGCCCAAGGCAGCTTTGCCTCAAACTCATGGTCCTCCTGCCTCAGCCTACTGAGTTCAAGGATTATAGCCCCATGCCTCCATTCCTGACTTCAAACTTCTCTACCAAAAGTAAGTACGTATGATTTCATATGGTCTGAAATGGATGTCTGTGCTCTTGTCTAAAGCTAAGGGAGTGGAAGACAATAGGACTACTAGTAAGAATGATGTGTGGTGACAGTGGTGCACAGGAACTTCAGACATTTTGGCCTGATTGTATCCAAAAGTCCTAGTTGTTTTAAGGATTTAAGAAGACAAGCAAGAGGTGTGAGACCCTGAGACTTTGAGTGGATGGTTCCCATAGTGACAGATTAAGTACAGAGTGAAGAGGAGATAGAGAAAGAACCCAGCAAGCTGGTAGGAGGTAGAGACAGAGCCGAGCAGATGGGAGACAAAGAAAATCCCCTCTCCATAGGGAGTGGAGGCAGGATCATGAGTCCGGGCAGGAAAGCTCAGCAGAAAAGGAAGAGAGAGAGAGATGGGGAGGGAGTAGGAGGAGAAGGGGTTTGGCATTCGGTCACGCAAAATGAGAACGAGGAGAACCAGGCATCAAAACAAAGTGTCTTTTTTTTTTGTTTTGCGGGTTAGAGTTATTTTTGAGTTACTTCCAAGTCCAAGAAGGTGGTGTCCTGCAATTAGATCATCAGGGAGAGGAAAGGCATGACCCTGTCCTGGACAGGAAGTAGTGCGTGTTCCTATCTCTGGAAATAGTGTCCTATATCCAGAGAAAGGAAAGGGGTTTCCAACACATGTGTGATTTCGAGGCAAATGAGAGGAGCAGAAAACCCTGCAATGAGAGCATGGCGTGACCAGCCAGTAGCTGGAGACAAAGTACAAGGAATGGGATGGGAGAAAAGTGGAAAAAACGCAGTGAGCCAGAAGGGAGGGAAGTTTGTGGAACAAGTTGATCCCGAGGTTTAGTAGAGGCTGAGGAAAGATGATCCCTAGAGGTTTAGTAGGGTAGTCTAGTAGAGGTTTAGTAGTGCCCCAAAGGTGTGTGGTGAGAGAGAGAGAGAGAGAGAGAGAGAGAGAGAGAGAAGAGAAGAGAGAGAACTTAGAAAAGATAGTCACGCAAAAAAAAAAAAAAACCTCTCATTAGTTGTCTGGTAATCTGAAGGTAAAGAATAAGTTAATTCAGATTGAGCCATTTTCCATGTCCCATTAAAGCCTATATCAGAAAAATATAGCATCTATCAGTAGGCTGGGCATGGAGGCTCAGTACTTGGGAGTTCAAGGTCACCTTCAGTTACACAGCAAATTGCAGGCTAGCCCAAGTTATATGAGACCCTGTCTTGTCTCAAAGCATCAAACACACATACAAAACAACCTTCCTCAACACTCCACCCCATACATATAAGGGGGCTAGGGGTGAGATCAAAGAGCAGGTCTTTGTCAAATAACACAATATATGATAATTTGGGGGAAATGACCTGATTCATCGCCATCGAAGTCATAAAATCTCCCCTCTAAGCAACAAAAATTATGTGGAAGATGTATTGTCAGAAAGCCATCAAAGTTGACCCATTATGAACATGTTTTGGCTATACTTGGTTTCAAAAAAGGACAGGAAGGAGAGAATTTATAATCAGGTCTTTTCCTATTCTGAATGGCAGAAGTTCTGTATATAAAGGTGGCAAAGCCTATTTAAAAAAGCCTATTTAAAACTGAGAAATACCATTCCTAGTGATAACTCTTGGTTCTCCGCCAGGCATGGTGACAGAGTTGTAATCACTTGGTGGGGGGTAGAGGCAGGAGGATCAGAAGTTCAAGGTCTTTCTAATCAGAGGCCAGCCTGGGTTACTGAGAAACTGCCTCAAAAACCCGAAGCAGCTATTCTTGGCTCTTTCTTTGAGGTTTTGAAGGGCCAAAGTCTGTCTTTGACTACCACCTCGACTGTGCTTAGTGGAAACTATGGTTTCCTTTAGGCTCTAGTGCTTTGGAGAGTAAGAATGAGTGCAAAGAAATGGTGAGGCCTTTGGGGGACAGACAACAGAACAATGTGGAGAAAGGAGAGAGTCATTACTTTGGCTCCTAAGAAAGATCAAAGGCTCTTGGACTGGATTCTTCAGAAAATACTGGAAACCTGTAGGCAGCTGGTTGCAAAGGATTTCCATGGCAAACCATCACCTCTTGGGGCCTAGGATGTTTTATACTATTATTTATTTTTTTTCCTTTTTTAACTTTCAAAAATTATTTTTAATTTATGTGTATGTGTGTATTGCCTGCATGTAGGTAAGTGCACCCGTGTCATGCAATACCTGTGGAGGTCAGAAGAGGCTGTCAGATCCCCTGGGACTGGAGTTATGGACAATTATTAGCTGCCATGTGGGTGCTGGGATTCGAACCTGGGTCTTCTGCAAGAACAACCAGTGTTCTTAACTGCTGAGCCATCTCTCCAGTCCCATTTAACCTATTTTTTTTTAAAGGAAATTAAAAAAAAATTTACTTTATGTGTGAGTGTATTGCCTGCATGTGTGTGGGTGCACCCATATCATTCAGTGCCCACAGAGGGCAGAAGAGGGGATGATCAGATACCCTAGAACTGGAGTTACGGACGGGTGTTAGCCACTATGTGGATGATGGGATTCGAACCCGGGTCTTCTGCAAGAGCAGCCAGTGCTCCTAACCACGAAGCCATCTCTTCAGTCCCAGTTTTATATAATCTTAAAGGTGGGTCTATTTCCAGAGCCAACCAGCAGGAAGCAGGGCGCAGCCACCGCCGCCAGGGGGCGCCGCCACCTCCCCGCAGGGGGCCCACCCGCGGAGGCGCGCACGCGAGGCCTCCCACCGCGCCGGCGCTGAGGGTGGATGGCAGCTCGCCTTTATGCGACGCCCAGCTGTCTCCGCTGAGGTGAAAAACTGCGTGACACGCAACGAGCGTGGCGGCCATCTTCGTCCTCTGGGCATGTTGGCTTCGGGCTGAAGAAGAGCGTCGCGCAGGCGCACCCAGGACACTCCCAGGTAACTCCCATCTGACGGGCGAGGCATCGCCGTTGCCGCCGCCGGAAGTTTGCTGTTTGCGGGGCGGGGAGGCGACGGCCGCAGTGGAGGCAGCTGAGCGTCTGTGGGTACCCGGATGTGAGGCGCTGTGAAGGCGGCACTGGGTGCCTTGGCGGGGCCAGAGCAGGTACGAAGCGGCGATGGGGTCCCGTGTCCTCACCTCCCTCTGCACGTTCTGTCCTTCCTGTCCCAGCCTCGGTGTCGCGTCGCGTCGCGTCGCGTTGCGTCGCACGCGCTGTCCGGGGCGCGCTGTGGGAGCTCGCCGACGCGGCCCGGGTGGGCACGGCTGGCGCGCTCGGCGGCAGGTGACGGGGCTGTCACCGTGAGTCCCGGCTTCCCCGAGAGCTCCAGGTGGCGGGCAGCCCTCGCGCCCGCCGGGCTAGCCTGGTCCCGGTCCTGCTGGCTTCTGCCCGGGCAGCCCCACGAGCCGGTTCCCGCCGCCCCCCGCGGACCTCTGCGGAGCTCTGAGGCCTTTGCGGCCTGCCGGCCAGGGGGTGCGGAACCCCGGGTTCCTCTGGTCACACTGGGACCAGAGCGACGGCCCCGGGCCCAAGGTCAGAGAGGGGTGGAGGGTGGCGAGGGCCTGGGCACAGGTAGAGCGAGGTCCCGGGAGGGTCCCGGGGAAGTTGTGGCGCGCTGGAGATGCGCTCGAAAGTGAGTTGGCTCTTAAGTGTGGATCAGTATTCATTAGAGTATGCGGGGGGTGGGGGCTGTCTGTGTCCCCAAATGACCGAAACCCGGATCCCCGCACCCCAGGTCCTTAAGGTGTGTAGTGAAAACGCGGTGAGTACAGTTCCGTGGGGGAGGGGTGGGGTGTCGGAAGGTGGTAAACCTGAGAGATTTTGGAGAAGTACTGGGAACCGTATTTTCTCTAGTCGTAGCTGAAATGGCTTTCTTTCAGCAGGAAGTAATTGAAGCATACAGTATCTAAACGGTATTAAATTTCAAAACAGTATTTTTTAAAATTTTTATTTTTTTGAGACAAGGTCTCACAGTGTGGCCCTGCCTGGCCTTGAACTCTATATAGACCAGGTTGGCCTCGAAGTCAGAATTGCAGGTGCCTCTGCCCCCTGACTGCTAATAATTTAAAGGCCTGTGCCAATACACCTGGCACAAAACGGTATTTTAAGTGGACTTTACAGAAGACAAAAATTGCTACTTAGCGGAATAGTTACGATGTGAGTTGCAACAACACCCCCCCCCAAGTAAACAATTTGTTGTTTTTGAGACAGGGTCTTTTTGTAGCCCCATCTGGTCTCGAACTCCCCATGTAGGCCCTACTGGCCTTGAACTTGCAGATTCACCTGCCTCAGTCTCCCAAGTGCTGGGATTAAAGGTTTTATTCCACCATACCCAGCTTAAAACAATTTTTAAAAATAGGAATGGGGGGCAGAGATGGCTCAGCAGGTAAAAGGTCCATGCTGCCAAGCCAGACAACCTGGTTTGGATCCCTAGGAACCACACAGTGGAAGGAGAGAACCATTCTGGATAGGTGGCACCCCTCCCCCCCAAGGAATGAATCCCCCAATAATGAATGAATGAATGAACAAATGAACTAGTAAATACATGTACTTTTTTGTTTTGTCTGGTCTTTTTGAGACAGAGTCTCCCTATAGCCTGAGCTGGTCTGGACCTCACTATGTAGACTAGGCAGGCCGCTGCCTCCCAAGTGCTGGGACTACAGGCTTGGACTACAGGCTTGGGTCACCACGCTGGTCCAATACATGTACTTTTTTAAAAGTAGGAATGAACTGCAGATGTGTTTTGGGAAGTGGTAAAATGTGTGCTTAATATGAGCAAGGCCCTAAATTCAATATATGGCATTAAAAATAAGAAACCGGGAGAAACATGGATTTCAGTTGTAACATGCACGTTTCAGTGGATTAAGCTGTGCGCTATTTCTCCAATGCTTAGATTGTACTTTAGATATAGTGCCAACTCCGGTGCTTTTTTTTTTTTTTTTAAATTATTTATATGAGTGTATTGTTTGCATGTATGTAAGTACTCCTGTATCATTCAATGACAGTGGGGTTCTGAAGAGGGCGTCGGATCCCCTGGAACTGGAGTTAGAACCTTTATTAGCTGCCATGTGAGTGTTCTGCAATCAGTGCTCTTAACCACCGAGTTAAACTGTCCAGCTCCACCAATGCATTTTTTTTTAATTGAAAAATTAAAAATTTCCACTGTGATTATCACTACGAAACGCAGTGAAATGATGCTGGAGAGATGGCTCAGTGGTTAAGAGCACTTGCTGCTCTTGCAGAGGACCGCGTTCAGTTCTTAGCTACCAACATCTCATGGCTCATAACTGCTTGTAACTCCAGCTCTAGGTTATCACAGTGCACATGCTTCCCCCAGCCCCCAAATAAAACTCCCACCACTCACCAGCATTCAGGAGGCAGAGGCAGGTGGGATCCTTGTGAGATCGAAGCCAGCCTGATCTGCATAGTGAGTTCCAGGACAGCTGGGGCTAGTGGGAGCTCTTGTCTCAAAAAACAGACAAACAAAAAGTGCTTAATTAGGAGCTCTTAATTCAGGCCTTCATCGTCTGAGGAAATACGAAAACTAGAACTGTAGCACAGACACTTGTCCCTTTTAAAGGAAGACTATTATTCCTTGTAGGTCAGATGTGTCCATTAGAAGCATAGTTCTTTGAACCAAATTTGACCTGGCTTGTTAGCATCCGTCTACCCTAATCATTCCTATCTGAGGAAAGCCTGCTATTGTTTCACGTTGTTCAGTCAACAGTATAATTCTGTAGTGAACACATTTTTTTGGTTTCATTATGACCTTTTTTTTTTTTGTCTTTTTGAGACAGGGTCTCCCTGTAGCCCCAGATGTCCTAACTCACTTTGTAGACCAGGCTGGCCTCGAACTCACAAAGATCCACCTGCCTCTGCCTCACAAGTGCTGGGATTAAAGTCGTGTGCTACCACGCCCGGCAATTATGACTTTTTGAAAAAATTTTATTTTTATTTTATGTGTATGTGTATATTGCCTGCATGTATGTAAGTGGAGGATAGAAGAGGCTGTCAGAGCCCCTGGAACTGAAGTTACAGACAGTTGTTAGCTGCCATGTGGATGCTGGGATTTGAACCTGGGTCTTTTGCAAGAACAGTCAGTGTTCTTAACCACTGAGCTAATCAGCTCCCCCTTTTTTAATTCATTATGACCTTTTAATACATATATGTAATATATTTTGATATTTCTACCCCCCCATTACCCTCTTATCCCCAGTCATTTCCACTGATCACCTTCCTCTTCCCAACTAGTCCTGTTTTTACTTTCATGAGTGGGTAGTGACCCAGTGAGTTTAACTAGAGTTGCTTTCAGAAGCATGGACGACTTACCAGTGGCTACACTCCTGAAGAAAATGTCTCTCCCTTCCCACCAACTATTAACTAAATGTCTGTAGTTCCTCATGGGAGAGTGGGGTCTCTTCTTGACTCCTCCAGTTCTTTTTCTTTTGTTCTTTTTGTAGATTTTTTTTTTTTGGTTGTTTTTTTTTTTTAAATCTGTCTCAGCCAGGTGTGGTGGCACATGCCTTTAATCCTAGCATAGGCAGGCAGATTTCTGTTAGTTCAAGGCTGGCCTGGTCTCCATAGGAATCCAGGCCAGCTGTGGCTACAGGGAGACCTTGTCTCAAAAAGACCAAGAGGAAAAAAAATCTTTCCCATAAAAGGTTTTTGTGCTGGAATTTGAATTGATAAGCTATGCTTCACAGAACTAAAAAAGGACACCTAGCCGGGCGTGGTGGTGCACGCCTTTAATCCCAGCACTGGGGAGGCAGAGGCAGGTGGATCTCTGTGAGTTCAAGGCCAGCCTGGTCTACATAGTGAGTTCCAGGACAGCTGGGGCTGCAGGGAGACCCTGTCTCAAAAAGACCAAAAAAAAAAAAAAAAAAAGGACACCTAACTAATGAATGCCATTAATACCCTTTGCAAGATGACCCTTTTTAACTTGGTAATTCATCAAAGTGGAGTTGATCATACTCTTATAATGAAAGTGACCTGGGTTGTATAATTCAAAATAATGCATTGTTTTTATAATAAGTACTTTTTCTATGACTTTCCTTAGATTTATGTTTCATATAGAGTTCATTGAATAACCTCTACTGAAGGTGATAAATACAGATGATAGAAACCAACTCCAATAAAATTATATAGCATCCTGTAAAATGATTAATATCCTAGATAATTCATTAAAAGATGTTGGTAACCCCTCTGAAGGCCTAGGCTTTCTTTTTGTGTATACATCATTCGGTGAAAATTCTTTGGCTATATTTCTGCAGAAATTTAATATTATTGCTTTATTTTTGTACTTACGTTTGATAAATGAAACATTCTGTTAGCCCTCTATTACTCTTTTTTAATCGTTTGACAGTTACATGTATACTGAATTTTAGTCACTCCCACCCCCAATTTCCCTTCCTTTCCTACTGCTACCCTTCTCCAACCATCCTTCTATTTCAGGTCTTTTGTGTGTGGCCCTCTGTGTTTAATTAAAAGTTCCTTGCCTGAGAGTGAGTGGGAAGTTACTCAGTGGAGCAAGGGCAACTTATCTGTGGTTCTTTCTCTTTTTGAGGGGAGTGTAGGAGCCATATGTAAAGATTGTATTATACTGTGTTTCTATAGAACAGGACTTATATCCCATTCTGTAGGTAAAACCACAGGAAGTAAATAAGATACTAAGTATTTTAATGTAGGGATTCGCCCCCTCTTAGTGTTTTTTGAGACAGGGTCTATTGTGACTCATACTGGTCTTGAACTTGCTGTGTAGCTGAGGCTGGCTTTGAACTACTGTTTTCACCTGCCAAGAGCTGAGAGATTACAGGTGTTATGACACCATGACACCCAGCCTTTTTTCTTTCTTTCTTTCTTTTTTTTAAAATTTAGGATCTTGCTATGTAGTCCTGCCTGGCCTGGAACTCACTATGTAGACCATACTAGCCTGAAACTCAGAGATCCACCTGCCTCTGCTTCCCAAGGGCTGGAATTACTGGTGTGAGCCATCATTTGTGGCTAATGTACTGGTTCTCAAACTTTTGGTTTCAGAATTCCTTGTATTCTTAAAAATTATGTAGGATTTTAAATAGTGTTTGTTGATATTGTTATGTGTTGATAGTGA